AGTAGGACGTGTGTCAGTTCTACAATAATATCTGCCTACCCCGCGATAGATGTGAATGGAAGATATAATAAGATTTAGTAAGTTATAATTTCTGTAAAGAGCATATAAACTTTTAAAAGAAGTCGCGACTAAAAATTATCATTTAACAAATAAAGAATTATCATTTAATTAATAACCTAGAGAAAAGCTCCGCCCGACGTCAATAGCATTTTCTTGAATAAATCGCTTTTGAGATAAGTATTATTTATCACTTTTTAAAGTTTGGAGTCGTTTCTATTTTTTTTTTTTAAGTATTTACTCGTATTTCATGATATTTAGTGATATTTATTTATATTTCTTATATAACAGGTATCACTAAAAATATTAAATAATATATAAGAAAAAAGAATATGTTAAATATTTAAGTAAAAGTCTTAGAATAGGAGATTTTGTTTATTTGCTCGACATATTTTTTTTTTCCTATAATCTCTGTCATATTTTGAAGACAAAAGATTTGATTGCTCCAATTTATAAAAGTATTTCATCTATGGGAAGATACAAACATGCGGCGGACATGTGCTATAATTTACGCAGGCAATTTCGCGATGAAACAGCTAGTTTGATAGAAATTGGTTGACAATCAAAGAAGAATTTGATGATCATACCTACCCCTATATATAGGTAATCTTTATTCATTGATACCTACTATCTATGACTTTCACAAAAAATATACATCAAAGAGTAAAGTAAACATACTTACTCGTTGAAAATAGAAAATCTTCCTTTTAGATTTTGAATGAATTCTAAATAATCGTATGCAATCTTTTGTTTTTTGCTGAAATCGGCCAGGTCATAATATATCATCTTAATATTTAAGTGATATTTGTTGGAAAGCGTATTTTGTTTTGCTATAAAAGGAAAACTACTAATTCGATTTCGATAAAATTTAAATGGAACCACACCTTGATCGATCAAGCTGTCTAATAAAAATGAATTTTTAAAATCGGTCAACAATGACGAAAGTATTGGCGAACACACAACATAAAAAAAAAACATACAACGCCTTCAAATATATAACTTCTTCCTTTTCCATTTTCAATTCGGTTAAAAAATAGACGTCATCACAGGATTATTTTTAAACTGAATAAAACCTCTTTTCTCCTGAGTTCTTTATTCAATTTCCGAGACATTTCCGTGCAAGTATTTTAAATTTCGAATGTTCGAATCATGAGCCAATAATAATCCAATAATAACAGTTAATCGGACATCAATTGATTAAGCAATCACATGATTTATAAGTAAATGACTTCCAACTATTTGATAGTGTACTTCCGTTGAGATCATAGTTGAGTCACTTGAACAAAAAAACAAAAATGCCGCTTAAGATTTTCACAAATCAGCTGTATTTTCAGATCTGTATAATGTCAAACGGCTCGTAGATCGACCGATCGGTAGTTGAATTCCAGTCAACAATATATTAAATAACATAATAATTATCAATTTTACATATATTCACAATGCTTTATTTAGTATTTTTCTTTAATATAACTATATTCAGTACGTAATATAGTTAGTCATATATATATAACTCAAAGGTGACTGACTGACATAGTGATCTATCAACGTACAGCCCAAACCACTGGACGGATCGGGCTGAAATATGGCATGCAGGTAGATGTTCTGACGTAGGCATCCGCTAAGAATGATTTTGATTAATTCTACCCCCAAGGAGTTAAAATAGGGAATGAAAGTTTGTATGAAACTTTGTCAATATTAAACCGATCGGGCTGAGACTTTGCATGCATAAAGATAGTATGACTTAGGCATCCCCTAAGAAAAGATTTTGATCAATTCTACCCCCAAGGAGATAAAATAGGGGATGAAAGTTTGTATGAAACTTTATCAATTTTAAAACCGATCTTTGCATGGCTGAGACTTTGCATGCAAAAAGCTACTACGATGTAGGCATCCCCAAAGAAAGGATTTTGATAAATTCTACCCGTAAGTGGATAAAATAAAGGTTGAAACTTTATTTCAGGTATTTAACATGATATAATGAATAAATATTCGTTAGAAAAGCTGCTCAAAGTGACTTTACCACGCGGACGAAGTCGCGAGCAAAAGCTAGTTGTATATAAATTTGATGCGGTACCTTCGTATCGTGAAAAATCCTCCCTAGATACAGCCTCCCTAGACCAATCAGGAAACGCTTCGTCTAGGGAGGCTGTGTCTAGGGAGGAATAGAATGTCGTAACTACTCTGGACACAGTATTTTTTTATTTATATTTATAATGTTCCAACTTTAATAAACTATGCTAAAATTAACTCATGCAAATGAACTAAGTGAATGAAGTAAAATGTTATATAGGAATAAAGATTTTTTCTTATATTAGCACGTAGCTAAAGTCTACTTATAACGCATTTTAATCATCAGAAAATTCAATGTCCTATTTTTGTCAACCCTAGCAGTAAAAGATGAGAGTATGAGGGGTGAAATTGCCAAGCGATTAACGCTGTTCGTTCAATGCAATAAAGTAGAATGTGGCTTAAACATTTTCGCTAATCGCGGGTGCTTCATCATTGAGTAGTAGTCTTCTCGAAAACTCAAAGGACAGCTGATATTCGCAGCTACACAATTCATTATAAAAGCTGTTGTTTAAATTTTTAAATGGACTGTACAGCGCATGAACATATACTTAACTTTTCATATTAACAGCAATAATATTTTGATAAGCAAATACCAACAATGTACTGGTTTTATTTCTACTTACAAATATTGTGTTTTAAAATACCGCAAAAAATATTAATAGGGAAGATGTGATTTTTTTACCGCGTAGGCATAGGCTCCGATACTATTAAATCGATTAAAAAAATCTTTCACTTACGGAAAAGTTACATCAATACTTTCCCGTAAGTAAAAGATTTTTGGAGTAAACAATATACTACGTTCAGAATTTGTTAATCTATTATTATATTCGTGTTTGATTCTTTTCTATAGTATACGATTACTATAATATACGATTCTATAGTATGGTAAGTACTTAAAAAATTCGTCTTAACTCAGTCAGAAGGATCAGAAAAAGGTAACTAAGATTATTGTTGATTTCAGTACGTTTAATTCAATGACATCTTTCTATTCTGCACACAAATTTTCTATCCGAAGAATTTCTGAAAAATACCTATGATTATACTGATAATCGAAAGATTTTCTGTTTCATAGCAAATTGTATAAATAATTTTGAACCTTACTCTCAAGGCGTTATAGTTTCAAATTAATGAAAGATTACCCATCTGATATTCAAAAAAATTACTTAAATACAATAATAAAAACATAGAATCTACCAAAAGTACTTTGCTATTATGCGATTGATTTTTTTTTCTTGCGAACGTACGAGCAAATATGTATTTTGTAGCGTTTCTTGATTCGTCTAGGGAGGCGGTTGTTTATTTAATCGAGCACAGTATTCGTTCGGCAACGGAGGTTGGTGATTGCAACGGTTAATTGAAAGTAAATAAAAACCTATTTTTGTACAAAATAAATATTAGAATATTTTTGCGAAAAATAAACATTATAATAATTTTGAGTTCATTTTGGGGTTTTATGAGTAAATCGATATAAGTAACACATCTAATAGAGCAAATTAGACACACGATCAGTTGCACATACGTCTATTAAAGTTGAATGACGCCTTTAAGCTCTAATGAATGTCATATTAGAATGGATAATGTCGCTTAAAACTAATAATTTTTTAATAGACGTGCAACTAGCTTTAAGAATTATAAAAGAGGGCGACTAAGTACCTTATACTTTTGTTTTATTTTATTTTTTGTTACTTGGGTAAAGAGTGACAAAACACAGAATATTTTTTACACAGCAATATGGTACAAAACAAAATAATAATTTCGCCATTAACTGCGTTTACAAGTGTTGATGAGAGAACGTAGATGATAAGTGAACGAATGATATTATGAAAATTAAAAAAATAATGTTGAATATGTGTTCTAAAGCCATATTTTTGTTTTCTTTTTTTATTAATATCATTTGATAAATTAAGTAGACAAACACAATATATATTTTTTAAGTTTTCTATATTTTATACTGTTAATTACCTATTCATAATTTTTTATGAATCTCTAAATAACGCAAGCATTATTTATTTTAATGACTTTTACTGGAAATAAAATGTGTATTAAATTTTTTGAATTGGTTTGAAAAACTTTTGTGTATTTTTTTTTGGGTTGAATCTTGTCTACAATATGTTCTAATCTCTATCTCGATTCTGCCTTGTTCCCAATTTCCTTTTTTTTTTTTGCAATATATAATATCACATTGGTGCCGGTAAGATAAATAAGTTGTGCAAAATTGTTAGAGCAGTGTTAGATACTTGTAAATGAAATCCAAAAAATTGTATTTCCTAAAACTACCACTATGAAGTAGGTAGGTTAATACGCGAGCGATTCCAATCTAAACATGTTTAGGGCATTAACCTTGTACCTTGACGCGGTGTCATACAATACGTAATTTATGTGACAGACAGCACCCAAGGGTTGTACTGAACATAATAGTCACATATTCACGGCAGAACAACCAGCCCACAACATATCGTACAAACTTATACATATCGAACGTTTTTCGTTTCAAAATTCACCAAAAACCAGTCAAAATAACTTAATTTTTCCCTGTCATTCCCGAAACTTTCCCTCTACCGGGGAATCGCGTTCAAAAAATGTTTTAAGCAGATTAAAAAGTTGTTCACACGGCAGGCAGACCGCGATACGTTTGCAGGTCGGTACATACTAGCGAGGAACACGTATCCCTCCTTGCACTCGTATCGATCGTACGTACAACACTTTATAACTTTCACATTAGCAGGAACAAAGTAGTCTAAAATAAATTAATTACGTAATGCGATATGGAATGGAAAGTTTAGCGCGCGGCGGGCGTAGGGTGCGGAAACGGGGGCGGGTGGGGGATGGCGGGAAAAGTTTTGGGAGCGAGTGCGGTGCGGCGGCGTACTCACCCTCTCCTCCTCACGGATCATCTCGGCGATGCCGGGCCGAATATCCACGTCGTCCACGTGCAGCGGCGGCGCCGGGGCCAGATCAGCAGTGGGCTCCGTGGCGGGCGAGGTGGCGGGCCGTGGGCTAGGGCCCGGGCTCCGGTCGGCGGAGGCTCGCCGGCGGGCCTTCGCCGGGGACTCAGCCTCGCGGCTCACCGGCCTCTTGGACGCGCGCGCCTCCACGCCGCCAGGCCTCAACACCGTCTGGTCACCGCTTACGTCAGTCAATCCCCTTATCTTCAACGTCTCGGCCACTTTCAGGAGAGCAGTTATCTGATCCTGCGACACGTTTATCTCCCCACGGTACATGAAGTCCACCACGGCCTTCAGGTCGCAGTACTTTATGTCCCGCATTATTATAATCGGGTGTCGGCACGGATTATCCATGAACAGGGTCTGGAAGTAGGGGCTGCACGCCGACAACACCACCTTGTGCGCTTTTAGGCTCTGCCCTTCGCACGCGAGGGTCACATCGACAAACGACTCGGTCTGCAGTAGTTGATCAAAGCAGTTCGCAAGATTGCTCTGGTAGTTATTCCATCGCAGGCAGAATTGCTGGGGTGAACCGTCGGCATCTCGGCTCTCCATGGCCGCGGGTTCTTCCTCGGCCGGCATCGTTTTAACGGCAGCGGTCTCGCATCTGCAACGTAACGCGGTATCGGTGAGAGGCCGCGACACATGCAACGCTGGCGCTGACTCGCGAGTCACTGAGCGGTCGAGGCGAAGGCGGGTGGCGGGGGCGCGCGGGCGGGCGGACGTTCGGTGGGCGGCGCTCCAGTGCCAGCGACCAATGAGGCGCACGTGCCGCCCGCCGCCACGCCCCCGCCCCGCGCTGCACTGCCGCCCCGCACCCCCGCATCGATCCTACAGCGCGCGGCGCCCGCGCACACTCGCAGCGCTACCTCCAGGACAACGACCATAATACGTTGCAGTTTTCTAACTAATAATTCATTGCATTTTAAATTGACTAAATAATAAATCACACCTTTTCTAACATTAATATTTGCTTGATTATGAAAACATGTTTTTATTACTGGAGATAGACTGTAAATGGTCTTTTTAATCATATACCCAGTTATTACATATGAGATTGATTAATTTTATTTAGTTTAATTAACGTGCGTGCTTATTTTGCAAATAGGAAATATTACCTAGCTAAGTTTATGATAGGCAGTTAACATTTATTCTTAATCACATATGACAATAATGAGTATCTCATCACCATCACTTACTCATTAGTTGAAGTACCTATAAAAAGATGATAAAGTATAAATACCCATTCATAATCTATAGGTGAGTAGGTACTATATAGATAGGTGGATTTATTTTCTATGAAATAAGTACATAGGTACCTCCCTAGATATAATTGTAATTACATTAGTTATATTTAATTTTACAGGCCTATACGGTAGTAGGCCCAGGTTTTCTCTGATCGAATGAAAGTTATAACAAAAGCATTTGCGAATTGGCGCTATATTATTCATATATATCTATATAGGTATTTTAGTCATGTGAGCAATTACTTTGACTATGATAAAAACTTGAAATTTTTTTATTGTAACTAAGTTGGATCTTATTTGCATACTGTATAGATGATTACCAACACCTTCCAATTTTTAAGAATAGGTCCTGCTTATTTTTTTTTTCGCAATCAACGGTTGAATATGAGGATCACCCTGATAATCAGAAGAATAATATTTATTTTCTCTCTTGAAAAAACTGCAACGTCCTTTTACATTAAATTTACTCGCCGAACGATTTATGGTCAATGCTGGCCACTAATATTCGAAAGCTTTTCACGTTAGAATTTGCTTTCTCTTTTCTTGCTGGCTGATAATAATAATATTTATTTTTTTGGACTGCTCCAGCATAGAGTATAATATAAATTAAAGTTCGAAGAATTGCATACGTATTTCATTCTACAATAAAGATTCTGAAGTAGCTCTACGTGAGCTACTTTAGAACTCCATTTCACAGTACCTACATTTTTATAGGATTTACACACTATAGATTTCTAGAAACTGGCGTCTGTAATAATAATAATACCGCTTAGCGCCGCCGACGCATAACCCGTACGTCAGCGCTGAGCGGTCGGCGTAACTACGAGTACAAAGCTTCTATAAACGCTTCTATAATACTGGCCATACATATTGGCCTGTCAGCGCCGACGCTAAGCGTAAAACTAAAACCATCCTAAAGTGTAGAGTTTGGTAAATAATAATATGTTTGCGTTTCGAGTAAAGGACACCTTGAGAGCGTCGGGTTGCTAATCTAGACAACCCCCAGAAGATATGGAAAAGAAAAGAAAGAAATAGAAGAGTTAAAAGATTAGAAAAGAAAACACTTTGCTCTTGCTGTCTTGTCTGTGACCGGTACATCTGGTTGACGATATAGATAAAGTCGTGAACTTTTCTCGTAAAGAGTATTCACAGTCAACGCCTACACCCAAATGTCACTTTTCTTTATTGTACACCATAATTAAACAAAAGGAGAATCGATCCTATATATATATCCGATCCTAATGACTAAAAGAACACCTGATCTACATAATAATCCATTCAAATGGCGTTTTAAATTATCCGGTTATCTATAGAAATCACGGCATTTAACTATGCAACAACAAAACGTATTTGGTTACGTTTACTAAGAAATAACTCATTGAAATTGAACTGAAGCCCTGATATATTTCCATGGAAAACTGTATGCAACACTTTGTTTGAAAGAATGCGGCTTACACAATCACCGTGTACCTATGTATAACAGCTCCGTGGACGTTTGTATTAAGCCTTGTAACCCAACAATAACACGATCACAATTTTCAATGGTATTTTTATGGAAAATATGTACAGAAAGAAACATGAAACTGTGTAATGTTCTCCATGGCCGTACAGTTGACAAAAAGTCAGGCTATACATCATCAGCCCTTTTAGGTCCCCATTGCAGGGGTTCAGGCCTTCCTTATGGATGGTTAAGGAGGATGGGCCATGACCCTCCACGCTGGCCTAATACGGATTGGAGGGTATTAACGACTGCAAATGCAGCCGGGACCAACGTCTTAACGTGCCTTCCGAAGCACGGAGTAGCTCGAGATAATATTTTTTGGTCACCCATCCCGTGACCGACCTTTGCGAATGTTGCTTAGCCACAACGATCGCGGGCCGCGGCGCTTATCAACTACACCACCGAGCATAGCCCATACTGTGTAAAATGTAGCCTTTTAAGCTCGATTGAAACTTGTCATGAGTATTTTATAGGGAGCACCGCCTGATTTTGTTACGTCACATTTGCAATTTATGTCATATTCTATTTTTATATTTTATGGATAATACTTAAAACGCAACATAAAACCAACTTTTAAACAGTTTCATCGCGTTTTTATTTAGTTTTATTAACGTTTCGGACATTTATGGATAGTGAAAATATAATAAATCCATACTCCATTTAAACACAGTTTACCAAGATAAAGCTTAAAAAGAATAATTTTTCTTTTACTTTGTGTATACAATTAATGCCAATTATATTGGATATAAACAGAATAAATTAAAAAAAAACTAGATTTGATCAATTTTGCTTTCACAATGCTGTTGCTGGAAAGTATTCATAATGGATTTTTTTTTAATCTCCCAGTCCAGTGTAGGACTCCAAGATGGGAGTCCCAGTAGTTAGAGCAGTCGCCCAGATTGCGAAAGTTTGTGGGTTCGGATATTATCTCAGAGTACCTGAGACTGGAGTAATTAAGTATTTTTCAATGTTGATCAAATATAATAATATAATAAATATTTAAATGTGTGCACTGTTTAAAATGTAAAAGTATTAGCAGATATTTGATTTGAAATCATAAGATCTTTGGTATCCTGCTTATATTATAAATGCGAAAATTAAGGCAGAAGTACACTTTATTTTTAAGCAACATACTTTGAGGGTTAGTGCAAAACAGACAGAAAATCCGCCAAACGCCTCACAAAATAAATAGTATTTACACAACGCTTATTCAAGGTTGAATGTCAAACTACACATTGCACAAAAGTAGATTAAAGTTTTGGTTAAAACATTACCCATACAAATTTTCAAATTCATTAGAGCTTTCCATTAAACCTATGATCGTTTATGCAAGTTAGGACGTTTCGCGACCGATCGAAATGCGACGGTTTTTACGCCCGCTATGCATCAACCCTTAGAAGCTGCCAATACATTTTACTGGTAATTGGTACCGACACCACCACCTATATTATTTTACAATTAATATAAAATGTTCGTATAGGGATAACATGCCTGGATTGAGGTATAATCCATCATACTTCCACTTTCCTTCGCATTGATTTAACTCTCAGTGGGGTTACATGTATTATAACCTCATTAAATTTCTGCTTCACGAATCTGTGGATCCTAGAACCGCAGCGCTTAAACTAATTGAAATTAAGAGCTTCGTTTGATTTCTTTTTTTTTAGTTCGTTACTAATGAAGAACTAATAAATTCTTTTCACCGCTTGCCAGATGTGTTGCTCTGGTATATCCAATGTGCCCTTGGAAAAAAGTCCATTTCTTTTTTACATTTATTTATAGTATTATGGGTCATTAATTTAAAAATTAAATTATATACGTATTTTGTTATTAAAAGAAACTTTGATGATTCGATTTTCAAAATAAATGAAAGAAAAAAAAGTCAATAATTTGTATTAATAATAATATATCTATATAAAAGCGAAAGGTCACTTACTCATTCATCACGTAATCTCAGAAACTACAATTGCTAGGGGGTAAATTAAGGGATGAAAGTTTTTATGGAATTTTCTCATTTCAGCCCTGCGATTCTGTATTAATCCAAACCCGAATTAAAATTGACTCAAGTGTCCGAATTTACTTTTAAAAAGCGGCATCCGTCAACCTTAAATTGGTAATAACGTTTCGTGGCATTAGTGAAGTGAGTTTCGAAATGACATACGAATAGAATATCTGAGACACGTATATTCAATCAATTTTGTTTTGTATTTTTAATACAAAAAATGGAATCAATAGAATTTCTTAACTAAATGATTTGAATTCGGAATGATAGAATTCCGGTCTGGATTTTTACAGAATGGGGTAGACTTAAAACCAGATCACGCGGACGAAGCCGCTGGCCGAAGGCTAGTTGATAATAATTATAATATATTAGTTATAAAGTACAAATTGTTATGAATCATTTATACTTTGACGATATGCATATTAAACACATTTTTCCTCCTCTCTATATTTTTTTCACATATAAAAAAATATAGAGAGAAGCTGGATAGCGCAGTGGTTGACGATGCGCAAGTGAAGCAAGTTTCACATGAGAATAGGCCATGACCTACATACAGCCTGCAACCTTGACCAACGGCATAACGTGCTTTCCTAAACACTGAGGAAGTCGAGATAATAGTTTTTGGTCACCCATCCTATAACAGGCCCTTGCGAGAGTTGCTTAACAACCGTATCGCAGACCGTACGAGTTAACTGCGAAACCATAGTAAAAGCAAACAGCGAACCATAAATAACTAGCGTGGCAGAGACAAAAGCGTTTTGTTATAAAATGTGAGTTAAAGAAATACGGCAACATAAAGTCGTTCCTCGAAGCCAGTTGCGTATGTTTGGTC